CTCCCAGGCTCCCAAGGAAGGCAGCTACAAAAATAAAAGGGTGATTCAGCCACTTGAGACACTTGAGCGTAATGGCTCTGACTCAACCCCCAGACACGCCACTGGGAAACATTAAAATCAAGTCAGCAATATGTAACTGTTTAATCTTCAGGAACTGCTTCGGTGATGGTTGAGCTCTGCCCAGGACACTTCCCAAAGGCCACGTGGACCAGCTAATAAACACAAACCTTTTACCAGTTGCGTGCTGTGAAGAAAACAAAAGCAGATCATGCTCCCTATGTACCACCATCCCCTAACCTCCCAATGTTTTCCCATGCTCTGCCTGAGCCACATACAGGAACTAAAGGCAGGCAGTGGGAAGGGGTAGGGGCTCCCGGCTAGGAAGCCCTCAAAACTGCTGAACACTAAACTTGAAGAAATTACCCATCACTTGCACTGTTTTTCTTCCTTACTTTAATATCTTGTGTTGACTTGAAGCTTGCTTGCATGAGAACAGCTGCTCAGAGATTGGCAGCAGCAGGAATATGTCATCTTCCCCCAATGATTCAATAGTCCTCACAATTGTGGGTATTATTTTTCTTAAATCTACTCCTTAATCCCATAATGCCATAAAACACCACTGAATCAGAGCTTAGCAGGATTCCAGACAGGAGCAGACTTTTAAAGCGATAATGAGAACTCCACATTTATTTTAGATAGGATAGAGAAGAGAGAAGAACGCACCAGATGGGCAGATTATTTCATAGTTCTCCTTAATATGATTTCTTCAACCTGAAGCATCTGGTAATTCCACTATCAGAGATTAGATACTGGATAAGATGGACTGCCAGGCTGATCTAACGCAGCAATTTTTTGTTCTCTTGCTACATGTAAGAGGGGCTCCCATTAAATCATACAACACAGAATAAAAATAGAGGTGCATAAAATCTGGTATCAAAGTGGGGAACTGTTAGCAGCCCGTAGGATCCCATGTAAATATGCTTCACATCCAATAAAGAAAATAACACATCTTAACATACACACACACCAAAACCTTCACAGGCAGGCAGAAAACGCTATGAATTGATCAACCAGAAATCTCACACACCAGCCCCATTCTCAGCAGCTTTTGCAGGAAAACACGGACAGACAAAATATCTCCAGCCCATCTGGGGGTCATGGTAGACAGCAAGTTGAATATGAGCCAGCAGTGTGCCCTGGCAGCCAGGAGGGCCAACCGTGTCCTGGGGTGCATCAAGCACGGCATCGCTAGTAGGTCGAGGGAGGTGATTGTCCCGCTCTACTCTGCGCTGGTGCGGCCCCACCTCGAGTACTGTGTGCAGTTCTGGGCACCACAGTATAAAAAGGACATGAAACTGTTGGAGAGTGTCCAGAGGAGGGCTACGAAGATGGTGAAAGGCCTGGAGGGGAAGACGTACGAGGAACGGCTGAGGGCACTGGGCCTGTTCAGCCTGGAGAAGAGGAGGCTGAGGGGAGACCTCATCGCAGTCTACAACTTCCTCGTAAGGGGGTGTCGAGAGGCAGGAGACCTTTTCTCCATTAACACCAGCGACAGGACCCGCGGGAATGGAGTTAAGCTGAGGCAGGGGAAGTTTAGGCTGGACATCAGGAAGGGGTTCTTCACAGAGAGAGTGGTTGCACACTGGAACAGGCTCCCCAGGGAAGTGGTCACTGCACCGAGCCTGACTGAATTTAAGAAGAGATTGGACTGTGCACTTAGTCACATGGTCTGAACTTGGGTAGACCTGTGCGGTGTCAAGAGTTGGACTTGATGATCCTTAAGGGTCCCTTCCAACTCAGGATATTCTATGATTCTATGATTCTATGATTTTTGGAAGATGTGTGTAGAAGCTCTGTAGTCCACCAGCAGCACCTTAGGTACTTTTGGAACACATGTAAGTCTCATCTTAAAGTCCAACAATACAACCAAGATAGCCAGAAACACATTGCTTATGCCCATCTTGTACTCCCACTGACTCAAACTTAGGGCCCCTTGCCCCAAAATACTAGTCCTGATTTCCTTTAGCCAAAGAAGCAGCTTTGAGGGGGGAAAGCAGAATACTTCCCTGACTCCCTCCAAAAGCACATTGCATTGCACACCCAACACAACCCTTCCTAGTCAGGAGAAGGCCAGGATCAGCAACATCAACCAGCTCGAGGTCTTACAGGCACAACTGCCTCAATGGTATCAGCACCACGCACACTTTTCATACATCCATGTAATCAGCAACACCTTTTCAGGAAGCCTTCCAAGGTAAAGCCCAATACTGCTCAAGGGGGGAAGAGCAGAGGAGATTTCTTACCTTCCAGCCCAGATGAGCAGCCTCAGCTTTTAAGTAAAAGGAACTCTCTAAAATAAACTGCATTTTTCAGCCACAATTTGCTGATCAACTAAAACGAGACATCACAAAGGGAAGAAGGGAAGGACCTTACCTTCTCCAAAGCTTCTCTGGAAGCACCCTCCCGAACCCAGCACATCCTGGAGGATCTCCTCCAGGGCTAGTGGCCTCTGTCCTTTCCACTGCTTCTGGGAGGGACTCGAAAGGCCCTTTGCTGAGACTCGTGATACCTTTTCATTGCCAATGTCTGCTTGCTGATCACCCTGAGCAGGGACACATGTGTCTCTGACCCCCCCTTAGCCATGCTGACCACAAGGTGCAGAGCATTTAAATGTAGTGCAATTATAAAATGTGTCACATTTCCCCCTAAAGCTCGCTTCACTTTAGCCACAGTCACAAACAGGAGGCAGGAAAAAGAACCACGAGGTCTGACCCAGCACAGCTCAGCACTCAGGAGAGCACCACTTGATCTAATTCATCTTTTTGTTTTAAAAAAGAGAAAATTAAAAGGACAGAATCACAAGAGTGACAGCCACTGGTAGGAGCAGCCTGCGACCATCGGCATTCCGGACATCAAACAGCCTTTAGTGGAACCAAACAAGCCTCACTATTATATTTAAAACTAATACATGCTTTGTAATGCTTATCAGCTGGAGGGTTTTCAACAGTTTTTCCCACTAATGCTGCAATTTCAAAACCATTTAGGCTAATTTCCTTTGACTTGAATCTATTTTAATCAGAGACCAGGATACTTGACTTAAATGGTTTGCATTAAACCCTTCATAAAATCAGCCATAAAATTGCATGCACAAAATAGCGAATGGATCTTGAAGTCAGAAGCAGAAAAAGCTGAAACTTTTCAAATCTTCCAGCAAAATCAAAACCTATTTCACAACCAGACCAACTGCTCTCTTACAACACCAAGACAACTGAACTCTTAAAATAAAAAAGCAGCAATAACCAAAACACCATCCTGAAGATCTTGCATAGATAAAATACACTAAGTTATGAGTTATGCAACTGCAGTACCCACAAATTCTCTCCTCCAAAATATTAGTCTAGCTCGAAAATGATGCATATTTAATAAATTGCTGCGTCTGCTCTGTCCTCTCCACCACCCTCCTATGAAATGACTGATAGTGGTACTGAGGAAAATACAATGCAAACCTAAAAATGTCAGAATTAATCCTTTTCTTCCCCGGAAGATCTGAAAAAACATTAATGCTCAAATTAATTCTCACAAAGTAATGCTGGCTCTGCTAGAAGTCAGAGTTCTGGATGAGAAATGAAAATAAGAAGCTCAGGCTCAGGTAACTGCTAGAGAAGGTCTCACTTCAAGGATTTGTCATTGTAGTGGGATTTGCATATCATACAGCCAAAGGTGCAATTTCTACCTGCAATTCATTTTGTCCAGACAAACCGTACCAGCAGAATTGGAGGCTGGGCCTCCACTCCTTTGAAAACTCATCCAAATATTTCTGTTGTCAGTGGCTGACAGCCTTGGAAACTATGAGTGGCTGCTTGAAATTCATGCAGCATGCAGAGAAGTGAAGGAACAAAAGCTCTCCATGCTCTCACATCGTTAACAATTTGCCAGGATGCTGGAGACATGTAGCTGCATCCCCTTGCCGCATGATTTTCAGTGGTTTGCAGATGCCAAGCAATAGCTTTGTCACCACCCTAATGACACAGGTATTTTTCAGAATCTAAATCTCTCTCAGTCATGTTATTTTTATTTATTTTTTTAATCAGAGCTATCACTCCAGCCTTAACAAATTGACACTTCCCTATTTTGAGGAGCACTTTACTAGCCATATCTAAAATTAACTTTCATGAAGATAAACTTACAGTATGTCTTCTCTCACACTCTTAACAATGATTTGGCATCTCATTTAAAGTGAGTTGGTGCTTAGTAGGTAATCATCATCATCATCACCACCTTAAAAGTTCATTCTGGTGAAATAGCATAGAGAGCATATTGCCACTGAATCCACTGGGATCCCTTCACAGGCATCTGTGCAGCAGGTGTCACTGCCAGGAGATATCTGTTACTCTTTCTGCTCAGTATTTTAAGCCTTTTCCCATGCCATCCTCCTGCCACAGCAGTTCAAGAGGGTTACAGTGCTCCAGCCCCATGCCTCGTAGCATCCCTTTGGGGACAACTGAAGCCCAACAGGAGATCCCCAGGCAGCATCACAGGAGGACTGCGCTTGGAGGAGCGTGGAGGCAGCCGGAGAGCCCCGGAGGTGTTGCAGGGACATGAAGGAGCTGACAGGGGAGGAGGGAGGGTGAGTCCTGGCACGCTTTTACAGCGTAATAAACACCACAGGCCAATAGCTCAGTGAACAGCTCTTTGCTGACGAGAGCAGATGTGAGCTTCTGACCACATTACTACCACCCAAAATAATATATTGCTTCAGGGAAATAGAGAGAGACAGAGAGAGAAGTGGGAAGAAACCAGCCTTTTTTTTTTTTTTTTTTTCCCTGATAAATTGTCTTTATGAACGATCCCGATTTCAGCCAAACTGCATTGGCTGCTCATTATTGAGCACTGCCCAGCAAACAGCAAGCAGGGAAGAGCAGTCTCGCCCAGGAACATGAAGGTAACCACCACTCCTAGCTCTTGAGCAACATCTCCTTCATGAAGCAACTGGTACTTACTTGGTTGGACGATAATCTGGTATGGAACGATCCAGTGAAATTTTCTCACTGAGGTAGGAGTTGTAGCCGTATTTCTCATGGGGTCCCTTAGCTTTCTCCTCCTCCTCAGGGGACAGGGTGGCTGGAAGCCCACCTTTGCCACGTCCACCATAGCCTTCAATGAGACCAAGTGACTTGGACAGACCTCGAGAGAAAGAAAGCCACCATCACTGTTAAATTCATCACTGTTACTTCCAAGCCAACGAAGAAACAAAAAATCTGAAAAGCCAGAGTTTTTTATTTTGGTTTTCTGAAAATATTTCTAATTCTAGATTTTTGGTCTAATGTAGGAAGGAAAATGACTCAAATTTTGAAATTCTTCACAGCTCAGGCCTACTGTTACCAATGCTCTACCACCTGCATCCAACTGATAACCTGTCCTAGGGATCTGTGCATTTATTTAGTTGTTCAGAAGGTTATTTAGACCTCCTTCCTACTCTACGAGATGTAATTACATATAAGGTTAGATGTCCCCAGGAGAAGGATAGGTTGAACACAGAATAAGAATAAAATAGGGTTGGTTAACTGCCAGCTGAATGAATTTTTGCTCGGTATGAACAGTGAACAGCATACAAATGCTATGGATTTAAAAACAATTTCCCCTCAAAGCTTTCTTATCTTTTAAAGTATAGCATTCCCAGACCTTTATCAAGTGGAATTATTTATTTATATCTGCATAGCTCAAGGAAATAGGTAAAGTTCAAAATGAGCTGCACAAAAAGAAGCTATATTGATGATTTGGTGCTGATTGTGGCAAGCCAAGTTCATGCTCATGTTATTATTTATTACACAGGACACCTGGAATTTGAATATTTTTCATTAGCAGAGACTCACACTTTTCTTTGTCAAATTTAATTAAGACACCAGAATATATTTCTTTTTGTTTTAATAGCAGAGTCCTGATTCTGAGAGCAGAACAGACTGTCCTCACCACTGGTATTTATGAAAAGACAGCAACATTCAGGTTGTTCCCTGGGCACAGCGCTCCAAGCGTGTGGCCCAGCTCCCAAACCTGCTGTGGATTTCTGTTGCCCCAGACCAAACGCTGCCTGACCATTTACAAGATACAGATTTTAACACTATTTTCCTTAAAAAGCAGTATTGCGAGGCAGTAAGAAAATCACCTATGAATATAAATCACAGTTTGAAACACTTGAATGGAAATTATTATTATTCCTTCTGACAAGGTACCTCTAAACAGCCCTCCCTGCTAGAGAGCTTCTGAGAGTTGATGGAGTCTCTCTGACCGCACGGGGCTTGATTAGATTTTATCCGAGGACAGTACTAACAAATCAACTGCGAGGAGAAGCTGACTGTGACATGGGGATGGATTAGATACCCAAGCTGCCTTTTTCCATCTGTAAGCTCAGCAACAGCCAGAGGAGTGCACCAAGAAAGCCAGTTAAGGGGAAGCCTTTGGGCCTGCAAAAGGCCAACAGGCCGCTCTGCAAACCTAACCCCAAGCAGCGGGAAGGAGAAGGGTCAGCTCACTGCCAAACAGACAAGGCACCAGTTCCCTTTTGTGGCAGTGTCCAGGGTTTCAGACAAGGACTCCAAAAGAACAAAACCAATATTTTTTAAAAATATTTTCAGAAAAAGACAATTTTTCTGAAATGTCTATTGCTTTATCAAAAACACCTTTTCTACTCAGGAACAGAGTACCTGCCGATGCACAAATTCCCAGCAGAGTCCCCTAGATCATGTCCTGCTTCTTGTTACTCTAAAAAGACAAAACATCTTCCTTAGTTGCTCAGCTGAGGGTTTTATCACTAACAGATACATTACAATGGAATTCAGTTCATAAATTTAATTCCTCCTCCTTCATCTTCCCCATGAAATGTTTCTACCAAAACCTATCTGTAAGAAATCATCTCACTGCCTGGCAATTATATTTCTTGGCCAGAAAGACTGTAACACAGAGCTATAAAATCCTTTCAAAGCCTGCCCTTACTGCCACTATAGGTATCTTCAAAATCTACCAGCTGGCTTTAAAAGCTTAATGTTGCTTTTCTTCATTTGTTTCACCAGATTTCTCACTTCCTGGTGCTTTTGCTACTGGTGCTTTGGAACTGCACAGCGGCCAGAAGGGCTGAGCAGAAGCGGGGACTTTCAGGGCTGGGTGAGGGCTGGCAGAGGCTCTGTGGACACAGGACCTGGGCACGAGGCAGCAGTACCTGGGGTTCCCACCCTGTGGGCTGTCAGAGCTGCCAACATCACAGCACCACGCTCTGTTTGAGGCAGGTTTAACCCAGCCGGCAGCTCAGCACCACACAGCCCTTTGCTCACCTTCCCTACCTACCCTCAGCAGGATGGGGGAGAGAACTGGAGGGAAAAAAAAAATGAAAGCTTGTGGGTTGAGTTTATTAGGACAGAAAAGAAAGGCAAATAATAATGCTAATAGTGCTGCTACTGATAAAGTGTACAAAGCAAGTGATGCACAATGCAATTGCTCACCACCCGCTGAGCGATGCCCAGCCTAGCCCCAAGCAGCCGCTCCCCCAGCCACCCCATACGAATTGTTCAGCATGACATCCTGTGGTGTGGGACATCCCTTTGGCCAGTTTGGGTCGGCTGTCCTGGGTCTGTTCCCTCCCAGCTCCTGCTGCACCCCCAGCCTGCCCGCCGGCAGGGCAGAGCGAGAAGCTGAGAAGTCCTTGGCTTGGTGTAAGCAGTGCTCTGCAACAACCTGAAACATCAGCGTGGTATCATTATTCTCATCCTAAATCCCACACACAGCACCATACCAGCTACTAGGAGGAAAATTAACTCCATCCTAGCCAAAACCAGGACAAGAAGCTCAGGTTATTATCAACTGTTTGTATTTTTTTTAAACGCAGAGTAAGGTAGCAGTCCCTCGCAGAGGTCCCTAATCAAAGTCAGCAGGGAAAGACCATCCCTCCAAGGCTAATGTATCCACCACCAGACCTGAGCCAGTCTCCAGAGGTGCTCGTCTGTGTCTTGACTGAGGTAACCGGGCTCCCAGCTACCTTAGTACAATACCTGAAATGAGATGGGAAGAATCTAGCTCTCAGTATTCAAAACACCAACAACCACACGAGCAAGCTATACCAGCTCGTCCTGCATTGCCCAGCCTGGTGGACCTGAGCTGGGATTAGCAGCATCAGGAGATGCCTGGAGCAAGGACATTTTGCCAAGGAATCAGGCTGGCTGCACTGAAATTTGCAGGCTGCAAGAACTTGGCACACTCTCCAGCGAAACCTTCCATCCTCCCCCACCAGCACGGTGTACCATGGAGGACAGGGTGGGAACTGCTGGGGAGCACAAGGATGTCATCCTTCCCTTCCCCTCTGTAGCCTTATTCCAGAAGAAAGATATAAAAGGGGACGTGTGTGTTTCACCTCTCCCAAAATGCAGCCAGGATGCAGGCAGAGCAAAGCAGACCCAGCTGCACCCCCTGTCCCCAGCTGTCCCGAGGTAGCAGGCTCTGCCGGGACTTCTAGGTCCTGGCAAAACGAAGCACCTGTTATTGCAGAGGCACCAGAGGAAGGCCAAGACATGACTTAATATTCAGCAGCTTTGACTGACAAGCTTATAATGCCATTAACTGCTTCCTTCCAAGATTGTGGTCGAGACAAGCAGACGCATAAACACACCAACATACCAGCGCACATTTATCTCTACTCACTCAGTACATTCCCTGAAGCTTATTTCTGCATATAACTTCTCCGTGTTACATTTCCTTGCTTTAGCCCTTCTACTACTATGAACCCTGTCTCAGTAAGCAGAGGTAAACCCGGGTCCTTTAACCAAAGGCATCAATGAAGGCAATCGATCTGTATGCACTGGGGAGAGCAACGCCACGAGGCCACCTCTCTCCCAATGCCACTCCCTACCCAAAACAGCAAAAACATCCCCAGGGACAGTCACAACTCCCCAGTGCAATGCAAGGGGGAGGATCTACATGTATGTGTGTGTGCTGGTTAGCATGTCACCCTCCAGCTGAGGCTGTCAGAAGGGTTCAGCCGTGCAGCTGGAGTACCACTTTGGTTTATGACACTTAGATGCAACATTCAAGTAATGTCTGGCAAGAAAGATAATTCACATGCAAACAGAGGAGGAAGAAGTTTGCTTCCAATGGGCTGAAAAGGTGCCTCAGAAGAGGCAGGACTGAAAACAAACTGATAGAGCAACCCTCATCCCATCAATCCATTCATTTGCTTGTACTCATTCAGTTTTAGGGCTGCACAAAGGACACAATCCCACAGTCCTTACGCATCTTTGACATAATTTCAGAAATCAGCCTCAGCCCACAGAAAGCTGCTTCTCAGCACAGAGCATCCCGGGATTTGCATTAACCCACAGCCAGGTGCACAGAAACACCCCTGTGTTTCCCAGGAGCAAACCTTTCAGATAGGGTTCCTGTGTGCAATCGTGTCCCTTCCTCTCCTTGCTCTCCTTCACAGAATCACAGAACGTTAGGGATTGGAAGGGACCTTGAAAGATCATCTAGTCCAGTCCCCCAAATCTTCCTCCTCCCTGTCTCCCCTGCTGCTCTCTGAATTGCTTTTCCAGTCCCTGCTTGCACGGACAACAGCCTGGTCTAAATCCTGGTCACGATATGCAGGGTCAGCAGATTCAGGCTCTCCCAAGGCAGAGAGGCTGCAAACACCCAAAATCCTCTCCGGGGTGCCGGTCACTGTGCTCCCAAGTCACCACAGCCGGCACAGCCCAGGATACCCCTCCAATTCCCAGCCAGCAGAACCAAGCAAACTGCTCAGGAGCTTAGAGCTACACGTGCAGGTTCCTGGCAGTGGCACATGCATCTTCTTTCATTTTCTGTCTGCCCTTCACAGCCTGCATGGAAATACCATTTGGTTCTCGAAGGACCAGCAATCTCTTGTACCATGTTCAAATGGCGTAACGCTGCAAATGAACGATTAAGCACCTCTGGTGATGCAGAAACAGAGGCGAAATCGCCTCTGAAGCCGGTCGCTCCCAACACACAACTGTCCAGAGCTGGTTTTCAGCACAGCCTTTTGCTGTGGCTTCTTACTAGCAATGTGCTCGCAGCATCTTTGCGCTTTTAAAACTTCCAGCTCTCTGCCAAACCTGCTTGAAATGGGCCCACAGTGCCAGAAATTACACACAGAGCAAGAAAGAGCAAGAGCGTGATCGCGTCAGCTT